ATAGAGGGGGAGTATCACCTCCTTGGACCTGGTAAGGGAAATGCTGATTAGTGCTCTAGAGCTATTTATGAGAAACACGAGCATCCTTGAGCCTCTTTAGCTGGACTTCTCCTTTCCAGTCACTGGAGTCAGTTTCTTCATTCCTCCATGTGTCTTTCATTAGTGCACGAGCCCAATCTGTCTTGGCATACTGGCTACTATAAAATTCTCCACATAGCCATAATTGTGTCCTGGAATAGGCCTTGAACGTTAAATTCAGTGGTGTACAGACTTTACCACTGTGATAGAGAACCACATAATTTTATTTTCCTTTTTTACAAAAGGAATTTTGTGATGATGCTGTTGCATATATAATTCACTATGGTGCAGAAGTACTGGGAAGACAAAGTAAATTACATGCCATGGGGATGTCAGTGGGGTTGAGATTTCAGGTTATTGTCTCAAACAGGGAGAACACAAGGTGATCTCCCTTCCTCCCTGTGGACTCTTGACTTGCGTTCTTTCTGAGGCTCCTGCTTTCCAGCACCCTTATTTTCTGAGTATCCAGTCTGTTTCTAATGGAGGTTTCCTGCTGTTTCCTTGCAGATGGGGTCATAGCGGCTATAAAGAGTTGTATCCAGAGGAATTTGATACCGACAGGTAAAGCCATTAAATGCCCAGTGTATTACTGCAGTAAAGCTACACAGAGAAATTTGTATGTCATATTCCCAACATTGATTGTAAATTGACTTTTAGAGACAAAGGAGAATTATAAATTTAGCAAGCCAGTGTCTTGGATAATGCTGATCCATTACTGTGGGTTTTTTTATTCAAAAGAGCAATCACAATATTTTGAAGCGGAGACGGGCATTTTTTTCTTAAGGCAGAAAAAAACAAACTTTAAGGCTTAAAGTCTCCCCTTAACTCCCTCTCTTGTGCTGTACCATTTCTTCAGAGAAAGGACCCTTCCCTTTTATGAGTCCTGAGCAATCCCAGTAGTAGCCAGACAGTTTAACCCTGAAGTTAAAAATGCAGCCAGCCCATCAGACAGTGGAGCCACCTATCTGTATCAAAAGCAGTTTGGGGAGGATGGGATTGATTAGGGCTCAGAAAAGGAAAGTGCAAGTACATGACACTCCCAGGGCTCCATTTTTCTTATTTCAGTCTTTGTTCCTGTTCACAGTGACCAGCAGGAGAGGGATGAACACGGCGCTGTCAATGGAAAGAAGAAACTGCCCCTTGGAAAACAATCTGCACACAAGTCCCGCAAAAGGAAGAAAGAAAAGAAATCACACAAGAAGAAGCAGAAAAAAAGGTCACACAAAAAGCGGAAGAAAAAGAAAAGGGAGCAAGCCCAGGCCTCGTCTGATTCCTCCCTAGAGAGCGAGTGCTCCCAGGCGGGGGCCTCAGGCACCAAAAAAGGGAAGCACAAACACAAGAAGAAGTCCAAGAAAGTGCCTGCAAGGAACCCTGCCTCTTCCTCTGGGCAGGAAAGTGACTCTTCTCACCCGAGCAGCTCAGCCACCAGCAGCTCCGAGGAGAGTGAATGTGAGGAGAAAAGGGAAAAGCGGCCTAAGAAGAGGAGGAAGAAGCAACACACATCCCCGTCTGAGAAGCACAGTGAGATCCAGGAAAAGCGGAGCAAGAGGAAGAACTGGAAAGTGGCAGCTGATGAGAAGTCAGAGGAGAGCTCGGATGAGGACTAGTGAGAGGGGGTGACTCTTGGGCTGTGGCTGAACATTGCAGGTTGGAGAACGTGGGCCACCGTTCTGGTCCCAGCATTGCTCCATGGAATGAACATGGCCTGGGGACACAGAAGTGTGACCTTCCTGTCAGCCTGCAGATCACTTCCCATGGGGTTTCTCTGCCTTGAAATCAGGAGAGCTGACAGCTCTGGGGAGAAGGTGTCTGTCCCTCAGGTGAGGTCTCAAACTCACCCACCTAATTCCTGATGGACTTTTTTTTTTATTCCATTGTGACTTTGTTGAATTTTGATTCATAGAGTTGCCAGAATCTGTGAAAGGGAAATGGGTGCTTTGGCAATGTTCAGCTCTAGGGGTTTTTAAACTAGGATTTCACAGAGGAGTTTGTTCCTCTTTTCATTATTAACCATGTAATGACCAATACAGAGTTGCAACTGAGTGGAGGCCACAGACTGAAAGCCTGCCCCCAAAGCCAGTAACAAAAGAGGTGCCACTGGACGGAGCCGCAGAGATGTCTCATGTCAGCATTTTCCCCACAGTGAAATAACAAACATGGCCCCACCTGGGGAGCTGAGGTAAGGAGGTGGCCCCTGGCTGGAGTGTGTGGGAATATGGCTGGACTTGGCTGCAGGTGGGGTGACCCTTTTGCAGCACAGAGACCAACGCAGGAGCTCGTTCCAGACTACTTTCCATTTCCCTGGCACCTGCCTTTTCTGTGGGACTGACTTGCCACCCTTCCCATTGGTGGCCTGTTCCTCTGGGTCTTTCTGCTGATGGGACAGGCCTCTGGTGGGCCTGATGGATTTGACCCAAGGATCAGGGTGTTGAGGGGGCTTTCTGTGCCTTTACCATCATTGTAGCCAAGGCCTGGGAAGAGAGCAATCTGTGTGTCCTGGAGGTCCTCCTTAGGTTTGGTTTTGCTTGAATGTGTAACGACCTGTCTGCACAATGCCGTCAGTGCTGCTGCCAGGTGTTCCTGCTCTCACATTAAACTCGGCCTTGCCATGGTGAAGCTGCTTCAGGGGAACCCTGTTGGCTGTTCCTGAGCACTCAGTTGCTGCTGTGCTGGAGTGGCTTTGCTGTTTTTTCCAAGTTGGAGGCATGCAAGCAGAGGTGGCCCCAGGCACCTCCACTAGGACACACCAGGGACAGGGTGTAGGCATTCCCTGAGAGTGAGATGCTGCCACTCTCCTCCCCTACTCTGAGCAGTCCAGCAGGCTGCTCCAAGGGACTGAGGGTGGGACGGGCTCTTCTATTAAAAGCTCTGCTCATTCTCTGGGAGTCCACAGAGTAATTTCTCCCCTTGGGCCTCTGGTGTCTTGGAAACAAGCTCTACCTGTGGGTGATAGGCAGGGCATTCACAGGCTTCTCCCTTTTTCAGACAGGGCCCCTGAGGCGCTTCCAGCTACCTACCTCTTCAGTCTTGGGAAGCTTAATTAGAAGAGCCTTTTGCAGATGAATACTGTGTAAATGCGAAGTGTTGCGCAGCTCTAGGTTGGCTTGTCTGAGATCCTGATGGTCACCTCATGAGTCTTACACCATTGGCTTCAGTGACATCGCTCCTGCTTTACCCAGCTGAGAGAGCTTAATTCGGCCCCGAGACTACTTGGTGAGCCTTCTGCTGCCTAGGAGGACCTCATCGGGGCTGTGGGAGAAGACAGTGCAGTATCCCATTGGAGTTGAGACAAGAGATGCTCACTGATGGAGCATACTGCACGTCTGATGGCCCAGAGATTTTTCAGCCCTGCCGTCTGCAAACTGCTCAGAGGACTGGTACTGCCAAAGCAAATAAAGCCTGTGTTGGCTCAGATCCAGCATCTTATTTAATTGCCTCCTTATCTCTGCCTCCAGTGGACAAAGATGTTTTGGCCTTCCCTGCATGTTGACTAAGGGAAAGAGGGGGAAGTCAGTAGTGTGGCATCTCTAGTTTTTCCTGTGCTGTGAACATGCTCCCTCTGATCTGCTCTCTGAAGGGCAGCATTTATGGCTTCCTTTCCAGGGATTCAGAGGGAGCGTACAAGCAGCCCTCTCACTTGGGCAGGTCTTGCCTCTTGCTGCCTGGATTCCCAAGCAAGGTTAGCAAGTCTTTTCTGATCCAGGCAGCTCACTCCTCTGTTGCAGCCTGCAGTCATGTTTATGCAATAACAATGCAGCAGCTTTTCATACATCACCAGAGAAACATTCAAGAGTTTTATTTTTTATAACTCCTCTGTACAAAGATTTTGTGAGGAAATGTTCAACTGCAGAAGATACTAGTTTCCCACATTGAACTGGACCCAGTGTGGACCTTGCTCTAGGTATATTTTAGGGGAGGGACGGAGTGTTGGGTCTGAATCACTGATCCCACTGTGCTGCTCCTAAGAACAATTGATGAGAGCACCTAGTATGTCAGGACCTCTGCTTTGATGAGCTAGTCTCTTGGCATTGAACATGGTTTGCTTCATCCTGCTTCGTCCCAAGAACCACATCCCAAGGGGGTTCCTGCCAGCTCAAGGCATCTACTCAGGATAACAGGCTGGCCAGAGTGGGATTCAGGATCTTTTACCCATTCTTGGCCACCTCTTCTTTACCCAGGACAGTCCGAATTTTGCCTTCCTTTGTACTCCAAGCAGCAGTATCTGCTGTTGGAACCTCTGCCTGAGCCTGCTGGAACTTTGCTGTGATTGAGTCAGGAAGAGATGAGAGCAGTTCATTGGTGAACATGCCCTTTACTTTCTATCCTTTCTCCCCACTTCTGAGCTGGAGTGTCTGATTCTGGCAACCTCCCATGTATTTGGCTGGTCTCCTGCCTCTGAACCCCAGGTTTCCTGCTCTGTATTGTGTTGCACTATCCGCATTGAACATATTTTTAAGTGAATTCTAAAATGGTGCCAGTGAGAAGGTGTCTCTCTTTCTGTGAGACTTAAGTACAGAATTTCTAATTTTTGTGTGTTCCTGTGAGACGGTGGGTGTTCACGTTAGTAATGTAACAGGTACCAACAGTCTCCAAGAGAATAAATTGGGCTTTTCAAATGACTGTTCTTTGGTTTTGATTTTTTTTTTTTTTTTTTTTTTTT